AGAACTATAAGTATGTTGTATTTAGTAGTTGTTGTTAAAAATGAATTGTTTCATTAAAATTATAGTTATATTACCTAAAAACATGTAACGTTTATTATGTATTACTCTTTCATTAAAAGAATTCACATATTAAATAAAATTTATATTATGATTGAATTGGTTATATATTTAGAAATTATGGTCTATCTATTTTAATGCTTAATAAAATTATTAATTAAGGTAAACATTTAAATCAATAGGTAAGCACAAATTAAAGTAATGATTAAAGTAAAAAGTTTGAAATTACAACCTAGTATATACTAAAGATAGGTCACACTAAAAATAGTTGGCAATAGATCAACTTCATCATAAAAATAGATTAACTAAAATCATCAGACCTGGTTAAGCCATTATTTCTTTTTTTTTAATATGACCGCTAAATAAAATTTTATTCTTCTCGATGAAAAAAAACAAACTATTAAAATAGATTTTTACAAATTAAATATCAAGAAATGAATTACTAATAATAAGTATATGATCTGAAAACAATTAAAAATGATTATACTTTATTAGATAGGTAAAGATAATATAGTGAAATAGGTGAAAAAATAAAGAACCCGGAAATATTTTGGATAAAGAAATTAGTTGAATTAATAAAATATATAATAATATTAATATCCAAGGTCTATAGATATAAACATGATGTACAAAGTTCATGTTTTATTAGGCCATACAATATACTTCTTTTTCATTCATACTAATTAATCTCTGTTAATCATAAAAATATCAATAAATAATTGCTATTTTTAATAAAATAAAAATTAGTCAAGAAATAAGAAATGTCACAAGAATAAAGATTTTACACTCATATATTATGTAAATAAGTACTCAATTAAATTTATTTTTAATATGGACACGTGCTAAATTATTATCTACCTTTAGTTACCTATAATTACCTAGATATTATAATAACCATTATTATCTGATGAGTTAGTCAAGGCTATACCAATGAATTGCGATTGATTACAACAACAATGGAACAATGGAAATAGTAGATTAATATTGAAACAATTTAAATATACGATATAAAATAGGTAATACATCAGGGAAAGATAAATGCTATCTCTAGTACACATATAAGTATTACGCACCGATCAGCAACAATTTTGATACGCTTTTCTAGAGTTTCGTATGGCAAGGGTTTGGTGTCCAACTTGCTCATAGCTACTTTACTTGCGCCAAATACAGCCGGAGATGAGTGAAAGCATCTTTGCTGAATCTCACCAGATATCAGTTTGGTCCACGAAACCTATTAACATGTTAAGAATAGTAATAAATGGACAATTTAACTGGAATTGTCAGCCAGATCAGAGGAGGAATACCCGAAACTATGATGTCCTCTGGCTACTAAGTGAAATACATACCTGGGACTTAAATGTTCTGCAGTACGCCATAGTGTATAATTCGTCGACTGTTTGCTAACTGAACTGATGATGAATGGAAAACTACCAGTTTCAAAAGCACATCAGAGTGGGGACGATCAAAAGCGAAAACAACAATATAATAAATAATAATTAATTAATTACAATAACTGATAAGTAGATAACATTATAATAAATAATAATACAAATAAAATTAAATTAATAATTTTAATATGTACCAGATTAGTCTTTGAGCCAAAGGTACGATCGAACGCGATCACCGAGTAATGATTAATGAGCAAAATAATACAATTAGTCAATAATAATACCTGCTAATTGTCCGGTGTAGTCAGAACGGTTTTTGAAAAATTTGGAAGATAGAGTTTCGCGGGCGGACGGATACTACGTCGCTACCCGATGACGAAAGCAAAGTTGTCGCTTGTCGAGAAACACTAAACTTGAGTGGCGAAAAACTGAAAAGTTCGATGACGGCTTAACAGTTGTTAACAGTGGTCAGCTATTACCATTTACCACAACTGACTCGCCCATCACAGTAATACCAATTTTTACCACCATGACAAAATAAATCTTCATGATTATCACATTATTCTAGATTTTTTTCCAAGACAAATTGATAAAAAGCCCAGTGTCCTCCAAATTACTATTCTTATTTCTTGTGCTATAAAAATTATTCCAATTTCCAATGAGGTTTCTTCTTCCGAAATAATCTAGTATAAAAAATATAAGAATATAATAAATATACCATAAAAATATATATGGGTTATGAATAGATTACAACTATATAATACATTATAGAATAATTAGATTATATATATTAAATCTGTAAGAAAAAAAACAATGAAAGTATCATGAGATACTTAACAAATTAAAAAATCTATCTTAAAAATCGGAGCAGATTGAAAACTTAAAAATACTACTTCGAAAATAATTTTCATTTTGTCCGAATTTATTTATTTAAATTCAATTACTATTTTATAATAATTAGTGTACGATTCAAAAATTTAAAATAATTTCGCTTTTTTCGAGAAAACTATGAAATATTGGGCGACTGACATTAAAAATTTAAATTTTTCTTGTAATCAGTGGCATGGAAAATTACGTCTACCTAGTGCATTTCCTTAGCCCTGGAAATGTATCTTGAGTTTAAAAATTAAAGTTTGTGTGAATAAATGTTTCATTAATTATCATAGTATTATTTTTGTTTAATGTAAATAGTTTGTGATTTATAATATTTTAAAATAAAAATTCAAAATTGGCTTACAGTTTTAAATATTATTTTTTAAAGAAGTAATGGGTGGATCATTGTTTGAATATTTTGATCAGGACTTGAAATAGGCTTGTCAAACCACTGGTCGTAATAAGCTAGACAAATAATATATTTTGGATCCACCAAAAACCGTAGTATTAAGAGGACGCCTACATGCGTTATTTCCGTCTTACATACCTACATACAACAGCAAATTTTCATTCGGCAGAATCCATTTTATGTCGTTAACTTTAATATTAGAGTATCAAACTTAAAGGCAAAAATTTTATCTAGGTCATCACATAGACTTTTATTAATGTTATAATTTTAAAATGAGTTATGAGCATTTTTAAGTTTTAATATTTTACATAGCTATACCTAAGTTTAAAATTAAAATATTAATAAAAGCCTATATGATGATTGATGGCCTAGATAAAATTCTAACCTTTAAGTTTGATAATAGGTAAATTTACTAACATTAAAGATAACAACATAAAATAAATTCTGCTGAATGAAAATTTGTTATGTTGTATGTATGTAAGACAGAGGTAACATATGTGGGTGCAGCGGCCTCTTAAGGATTTTTGAATCATCTTTCTAGGTCTAAGGGTTTTCAAAAACCAAGAACTTTCAATATCAATATTAAAAAAATAAATAAAAACAAATTCCATTTTATTTTTAATTGTTAGGTACACTGCGTATTTAACGCAAACTGTATACCAGAATAGATTTAGATATAGCCATATTCGATTATACCTACTATTATGATTATAATTTAATTTGTAAAAAATACAAGTACTCGGGCAAGTCAATAGTCAAAACTATATAGGACCAATATCGTTATAAAACAAAGTGGACTTGTTGAGTGTTTTTTTTTTTTTTTTTTTTTGAGAAGCAGCGCGTTATACGTTATCACTTATCATATTTATAGGGCAAAAACCTGAATAGTAAATTATTATTACATGCAATGTATGCTTAAAAGTGGTAGGAATACTATTTACAAAAGATTAAGAAACCGTTAAAATTATAAACGAGTGTAACATATAAACATTCATTCGAATGTTAACCAATATAAAAAATAATTAATAAAAATGTTGGACGAAAAGTTTTTTTAATCGGAGTATCAATGGGCGCAGTACACTTTTCGGGGAATGATACATAAATACAGTGGTCACCGCTTATTATAATCACGGTTAATGTTATCAATCGTTTATTGTTATCGAAAAGTGTAAGTACGGGCCGGATATATACTTATATGTGTAAATTAGGTCGGTTTTTATAATCAATACGTCGCATAATATTATCAGTTTGAGTTCATAAAATTATAATTTTATAACATACAATCAAATTTTTCGTCGAATGTCTCATAATAAAGATAAAAATATTGTAATAAAGATATAAATGTCTATACAGTATACACATTGATATCTACCTTTCGTTCGTACAGCATTAAGACAGTACAAATACGAACATTTTATCAATGAAATTTTAACGGTAAAAAAAAACAGACATCGATAAAAAAATATTGTTCAAATTAGTGATGTACATGCATATTTATTTATTTACATTTAATTTTTTTTTTTTATTTAATTTTAAATTTCCAATTTATACCTACATATGTACTTTTTTTATAAATAAATAATAATAAATAAAAAAATTATATTTTTATTAACTATGTATTTAACGTAGATTTTATTATTTTTTATAACTTTTTTAACTTTCGTTTAATGTTATCAATCGGATTATGTTATCAGTTATGTACCGTACCAAAGTGATTACATTAAACGTCGACCACTGTATACATATATAAATTAGCAACTTCACTGACATTTTCTAAACTTTAAATAGATAGTATAATTAATAAAAACATATTCATTATATTATATTCGATATTAATACACAAAATGTTAATAATTAATAATCTGAATCAAATGTTGCTGCAACGTAATTTTACTCGACAAAAAACTATAAAAAAAAAATAGGGCCGCAGAGGAATAGTTAATAATTAAATATTTCATAAGGATCACATTGTCTATGATCATTGATCATGTAATGGTAAAATGGTTAATGAAAATTGAAAATGCGAGGTGCTGGCAATTCCAAAATAATCCCTCTCGGTCTCAGCTCTCGTAAGTCCTGATAGACATATTGAATTTAAAATAAAATATACCTAGCCATCAGTGTCGGCTGTTAAAATAATACTTATAACTAATAATATTATATTGTTAAGAATAAAATATTAATTTTTTTATTTCCGTAAAAACTTGTTTACACAAAAATTAATTACTAATACATAATACAAAAATAACATTTGATCAATTAAAAAATACACGTGTCACATTCTATATACATTTATAATATCAATAATATTCATTACTCATTATCAATTGTTTTAAAAATTATCATCACTGCAGTCACTTGATGAATCGCTTGTTTCGGCATTAAATATACAAGAATGTTCATCATCCATGAAGTCGTCAATTATGTTATCGATTTCCCAGAATTTAGCTTCTTCATTAATTGTATAATCTTCGGCATTTCGCCAATCTTCGACTGTGACTGATTTAATACCTTCCAACAAATACTGTTTCAGGTCGTCTAATTTGAAAGTGATATTTTTATTTTTTACATACTCTTTAACTATGGACCATATAAGTTCAATTGGGTTTAACTCATGATGATACTGTGGTATCCGTAAAACGATTTTGTTCTCTGCCTTGGCTAATTCGTCAACAGCATATTTATCGTAAGCAGCTTTATGTTTTTGAACTAGATTCAATAGTTCTGCTTTAACATGCGAATTATCAACTTGAATATTTTTCTCTTGGAGCCATTTCATAATATTTTCCTTTTTCCACGATGACACTGGAATTTGTTCGGTCTTCATGTTATGATAAGGAGCGTTATCCATTATTATGATTGCATTATCGCTCAATAAAGGCAAAATAGTTTTAAACCATTCTAAAAATTTATCACCATTCATTTCTTTTTGGTAATCACTCCTATTGCTCTTAAATTCGAAACATTGTAGACCACCTTTTACAAATCCTTCTCGTGAACCAATGTGTACAATAATGATATAATCTTTGCTTTTCCTAGTTGAGTTGCTTGCACCTGTTGTTAATTTCGTTTTGAATGAATTACCATTTAATTTTATGGTATTGTCTATCCATAACTTTTGTGAATACTCATTACACCATGTTTCACCTAAATAATATAAAGGTCGTCCTTCTTCTCGTAATTTTTTTATACTTCGTAAATAATTTCGACGCCATATAACTAAATCTTCTCCCTCAGATAAAGCACTACTTCGTTTTCTTTTCGTATATACATAATTTAAATCTTTAAGAAGATTATACATAGTTGTCCGTTTTAATGTAGCTAAACTATTGTCTTCAGAGACAGAATTTACGATTTTATCCAACGTTGGTGGATTACGATTAAACCAAAATGAATGCACTTTTTGTCGAATGGCATTTTTATAAAAATCATCAACCACATCGAAAATTTTCGGCCTGGATCTCTTCATGGTTGGAGAAGAAATGGGTTTATTTGAATTATATGCGGAAATAATTCTTTCAATACTATTTTTTCCTATTCCAGTTTCATTCATTAATTCTTTTATTAACTGCTTATATAATATATGAGGTTCATTTGCTTTTTTTTTTTTATAAATATTAATAACTAGTCTTTTTCTTTTACTTCGAATTACCTATATAAAATAAGAGAATATTGTTTTACAAACGAACAATAATGTTATAAAAAAGTATAACAATATTATGTACAGTTAAGTTTATAAATTGGTAAATGCTTAATAGTAAATAATAAAAAGAGGAATAATTCTTACCTCGCCTCTTTTATTTTTTTTGACAGGTATAACTTGCAATTCTTTATCACACATTTTAAAAAATATTTTAAAAAAATGTTCATAAAAATACAACGAAAATAAAATACAGATCTAAAATGTTTACACAATAAATTGTCATAAAAAAAAAAAAACTGTAGAAACTATCGAGAAAAACTAACGGTCGAATTCAAAAAAAGATCAGTAATGTGTAAATAAATTTAATAAAATAATGTTGAATGACAAAATGTTGTTGTCTGTCAAGTATAGACAAAATTTATAAACCATAATATTTACTATCAATATCACAATCACTATCTCTGCTCACCAGGTGAAACAGTTCGTTTCGTTTTGTACTGCTTGGGTCGTTACCAAGAAACACATTACAGTGTGACCACGCACAGGGATATTCCAAGTTCTTTTTACACATGAAGGGTCTCCAGACTTTTTTTTAATATACCTATCTATGTGTATTGTGTAATAACTGGTAAATCACCTTTATCGGTTAGTCTGAAGTCTGAAGTCTGAAATTTTGGATTTATACTTATATTGAATCAGAACATTCAGAACATATTATGCGTCTTAACGATATAGACATGGGCGTGGCCAGATATTTATTACAGTAGACGCTGGTACAATATTTCTGTACCCCTCCCCATCATAAATGTCTTGCCAAAACATTAATTCCTTAAAAAATAATTATTTTTGTTAGAAATTATGTTTATAATTTAGAGGACGCCGCATTCTCATATGATATCTTCGTCTTACATACATATAACATAACAAATTTACGTTCAGCAGAATCTATTTAATCTTGTTAGCTTTAATATTACCTAGAGTAAATTTACCTATTTTTTACCTAATTTACCGCAAAGACGGAGTCCTCTTAAATATAAAAATATATAACGTCTCTATAAATATTTAAGATATTATTTGATATTTAGTTTGAATACTCTGAACTCCTCAATTACTTAACAATTGATTGAAATCGCAAGGTCTTGTTCCACGAAAATCATTAGCATATTATAATCTAATCTCTCTTGTTTCGTACTACTCTATTCAGTTTTGTTTTTATATTATATAATTATTTTGAAAATAACCGCTTGCAAGAGCAACTGATATCTCACCGATATACTTTCAAAATTTATTGTCAAAAATTAACAAACAGTGAATCAAAATTTAATTCATCATTTTTAAACTTAATTATTTTGATGATAGTAAAATCAGGACACGACTTGCAGGATGTGCAACTGCACACTCTGTGCACTCCGTATACGTCCTTCAGATTTGGGGTTTAGGCTACCTCCTCTCCACAATTAGCTTTAAGCTAATTTTGATTAACTTATCGGTTTTATCTCTGTCCTTAAAATTATTTGGTCATGACTAGAGATGACACTGCAGGCCCGGATTGAGCCGGCGGGCTACCGGGCAAAACCCGGTGGGCCGTTAAAAATTCGAAAGATTTGGGTCGGTTTGATGATATTTTGAATCAGTGGAAATATCTTATCCATGGTTTATTTTACATCAAAAGACAAAAATGTGATTCTAGAATGTAAATATGTAATCTAAGATAAAAATCGTTATCTTGATATAATGACAGCTATATATAGTAGTGCTTGTATTTACATTAAGGGTCTATAAATTAAATCTTGTTATATACTAATAAAATTTGATAGGTTAAGAAAAAAATTGTTTAGGAACTTAGGCTGGTCTAGGTGGACAGCCCGGTAAGTAATTTCTTTCCAATTCGGCGCTGGATGACAAATAACTAGACATTCAAACATAATTTTCCATCTTATATTTTTTACTTAAAAAAAAAAATTCCAGATAAGTGCTAAGGGACATATCACATAGGCTGTTTATATGTTCGATTTATACTGGTAATTGTTGGTTATACATACCTACTCAAATTTAGTTTTCAACAATCTATTTTATACACTCAAAAGGTTATTTTAACAATAATGGAAAGTTTAATCACAATTATTATTTTCAATTGCAATTAGAAATAGGTACCTATCAAATACAAATAATATGCATACAATATGAATATTGAATTTAAGTAATTTAGGTAACTTGTTAGGATTATTATAAGTTAATAATAGCTATATATGTATTAAAGCTTATAGGAGCATAAATAGATATTAAATTTACACATAGATTATCTTAATATTTGACATTTTATAACACAAACATACTTTTCAATAAATAAAATTATACTATCGTAAACAATAGAATCACAGCTTACAAGTTAAAATTAATTGTAGTTTTGTTTTTTACTTTGGACTTTTTAAATGTTTTATTTCTAACTTATTTAGGTTACAACGAAAATTTAAAATAACCCCTGTTTCTATGTCCTAAATATTTTGAACTTATAGAGCCAAGTATGAATCTTTGAATATATGTAAGTATACAACGAGAAACATATTATATTTTAAATTCTGACGGGCGCACAATATTATGTTGTAAGAAAATATTCACAAGAATTTGAGCGTCATCTATATGTATTGTTATTATATTATAATATACCAATTACGATATTCTAAGAAACATTAAATTCTAAATTCGTGATTAATATTATCACGAAACATTCATCATAATATAGTGATAGCACGGCTTTAGATAATAGATAGTATTACTTTAATACTCTTTGATTTACATACATACTTTGATAATGAAATCATTTAAATGTTACCATTGACAACTTAACTTTTATTTGATCTTCATTATTCTGGTTTTCCGATTTCCCGGCTGATATCAGACATTTTGATAGCTAAATTCTGTGAAAGTTTTTGTTTTGAAGTCTTAATTTTAGATTCGTTCATTAACCTATAAACAATATAAACTTTTACACTTAATTATATTACATACAAGTTGAGACGTTTTTATTTATTAAGAACGTTTGTTACCAATAATTTCGTGAAAAATGTCGTCTAAAATTGTTCAAAATATGTTGAAAAGGTAATCTTTAAAAAGTTTATTAAACACTCATTTAACTATGCCAGAAATGCTATATAAATTAATACAGTTTTATATAGTTTCATATCATTGTTTTGGATAGTTCACACCGTTTCGAACTAAAAAGAGTTGTGTTCATTTTATACTATTTTATAAAATATTTCAATATCATATTTTGTTATGGTTTCAAAGATAATTACCTATCCAAGAGTAGATAACTTGGATTTTTTTTTTTTTTTTATTAAAATAGTTTTGTAATTTTTCCAGTGTACCATTCAATCGCCTGCGGATGTCCCAAATTAGAACAAAAGCAACGTTACCTCCTCTCGCATTTGAATATAAAGACTTGGAACCAATCATATCACGTGATATTATGGAAATTCACCACCAAAAACATCATAACACTTATGTAGTTAACTACAATAATACACTAGATAAATTACAGACTGCTGTAGCAAAAGGTTATGTATATTTCTACTAAATCATTAAATTGGTAAATTATTAAAATATTTGTTTCTCTTATAGATGATACGGCGACAATCATAAGCTTGGCACCTGCACTAAAGTTCAATGGTGGTGGTCATATTAATCATTCTATTTTCTGGGATACACTTACACCTCATTCAACTAAACCTTCTGGTAAAATATTCATTATTATTTTTATTTTTTGAAGATATTTTAAATTATTAGACAATAAATTTGTTAAATTATCGCAGGCAGATAAATTAAATTTTATGTTAATACAATTAAAATATAACAATTAATTTAACTGTAAATTGACACAAATTTTGCTATTTAGTAGGTTTTAGTCATTGAAAACTATTTATCAATAAATTATTAATAATATTTTTGTAATTATTTAAATTACTCATACTGTATCATTTAAGCCTAACAAAGATCAAATTTTTTAATTATACTATATATTTAAGGTATTATGTAAAAAGTGGATTGTTTTTATAATTTTATTTTAAAATTTTGAAATTGTTTATTAATTTTGTTAAACTTGAGTGCTTTATGAGTTTAGCAACTTAGATATGCAAAGTTATGCTAAAAGAGTTTAAATGATAAATAAGTTTGCTGTTTTAATGAATTTTAAATTAATAATTTTATCACAATTTTAAATTTTTTTATAGGAATAGTTATAAGTTTATAACAGTATATGTATGAATTGATTTAAAATCAAACCTTAACTGAATTTTATTCAATGATTTTTATATTATTTGTTAGTTGTTCACAGACTTATCATTTATATTATAGACATTTAAGTTTAATTTTTAACTTAAATTTCAATAATATAAGAAAGTGTATTTAGATCTTAGATCATTTTACTTTATATACACAAAATATTTCTTACTTAAAATAATTTTAGCTGTTTAAGTTTAAATTAATAACTTTAGGTAAATCATATTTGAACAAGAAACCTGTTTCCTTTTAATCTAAATAAACTTACTTTATTATTTAGTTTATATTTTGTAATAATTTTATAAATATAAAAAGTATTTATTTTTTTTTTAGACAATTTGGATAAGGCTTTAATTCAAAACTTTGGTTCATTTGATGAATTTAAGAAACAACTAGCAGCAGCTTCTATTGCTGTCCAAGGTTCTGGATGGGGTTGGCTTGGGTTTAATCCTCAAAACAAGAAGTTGACTGTTATAAGTTGTGCTAACCAAGATCCATTGTTCCCCACTACTGGTTAGATTATATAATTATTAAGTACTGGTTTGTTATTGTATGAAAATGTCATTGGTTTGTTATCGTCCATCAACAATTGAAACTTATTATTGTTCTCATCTATAAATAGTAGATTTAATGATTTCAAATAGTTTTGGTCATAATAATATTGGTACTTCTCCTATTACAAATACATTTTTTACATAAAATGTAAAATATTGTACCTATATATGAAATTACTGTATTATTAATTATTTTTATTACATATTTGAGAAAAAAAATAATAATTTTATTTAGTAAAAACACTAACAACAAAATATAAAAACCAGACCTTCAAAAAAAAAAAAATAGTACTTGATCTAATATAGTGATTTGTTCTATCTGACATAATATATTTGTTACACTATGTTTTTTGATTAATTTTTTTACATTAATTAAATCTATGAACATTGACAAACATAAATATACTGAGGAATTACCTAAGATGGTTATAATAAAAAGTTTGGAGTTGAATTTATATTTTACTGATTTTATTAAACAAATGCCTATGGTTTCTACTATGTTTTTTTTTAAAACCGTAAAATCATTGGATGAGCTTTTGATGAACATTATATTATATTATATATTTCGAATATATAGTAGTGGGACGATAATAAACCAGAGTAAGACGAAAAAAATTACAAACCAGTACCTATTGTTGTAATGTTTGATTACTCAAATTAATGTATATATTTTTATGAACAGGATTGATTCCTTTGTTTGGAATTGATGTTTGGGAACACGCTTACTACTTGCAATATAAGAATGTACGTGCTGATTATGTTAACGCAATTTTTGAAGTTGTGAATTGGGATGCTGTGTCCAAACGTTTTGCTGAAGCTTCTGCTTAATTTAAAATAATTATTTCAACTTTATAGTTCTTAACAAGTATATATTTATGTTTATGCAATTAAATATGTACTTTTTTATGTACTCAGTTAAACATTGTTTAGTTTCAACTAAAATATATAAATATTAATATTTTTTTATTTTTTTTTTTTGACAAAAAACAAAATAATATATAACTTTTTAGGAAATCATCTAAATCATTAAAATAAGTATAAAAAGTAGCCTTTAATATTATATTGTATGTTTCTGTTCTGTTGTTTGTTAAATTAATGTTATTATTATTTTGAAGATTTAATTACTTCATTTTAAATTGTAAAAAATATAAAAGAAGAAAAGTTTATATTTGCATAATATGATGTAATGTGAATTTTATAGAATATAGAGTAATCAATAATATTTAAATATATTTTAGCAGGTTTATTTATGTCTATACATTTTTTCTATTTAGTTTTAACATTACTGAAAATAATAAGTTATAAATAAGTATTATATTATTTAATTTAAAACATACTAGTATATTATAAAATCAATGGAAATACTGATAATTGGTTTGACGAAAAACTGATATATTAAAATATGAAATTATTTTATTAGAAATAGGTACAGATAAATTGAAAAAGACAGTATGATTTTATAGAATATACATACATGAAACACTTATTTAAAAAAATTTTTGAAAAAGACTTATAATTAATTGCTTTGTTGTACCTATATCACTTACATTATTTAAATAATATCTTAATTTACCATTAGAATTTACTAAAAAGACATTTTTTTTAATTTTCTGAGAACATTTCCACCAAATACAATTTTATGATTTAAGTACTATATTATATCCATTAATATCTTTTTTTTAGATTTATTTTATTTAAATAAACTATTTTAACAAAACATTGACATGTCTATTGAGTTATTAATTTACGTCTTTCATCAAGGTTATTTATGAGATGATATAATATGTATAATTTATGATCTATACATATAAGAAGAGTCTGGTTTCAAAGTGTACAGTCTCCAATGGAGACTTCATATTTTTTAAATTTTTAAAAAAACCAATAACTTAAACAAATATATTATTCCTCCATACTGATTTTTTAAACCGGTTTAATTAGTTAAGTAGGTAAGGATAATTTAGGTACTAATTTTTTGCTTAAAAGGATAAAAATTTGTTTTGGTTTTGACAAGATCTTGGTAGGAGATTGTAAAGTATTACAATTATCGATGATATTCGAGAATATCACAATAATAATAATAATAATAATAATTGTAATACTATTGCGCTATAAGGTATCTACTTAAAATACATAATACAGTGGAACCTCGATAACTCGAACTTCTATAAATCGAATTTTCGATAACTCGAAAGAATGTCTTTGCCCCTACTTTATAACAAATCATATGTGTAACCTCTGTAAGTCAAATTTTCGATAACTCGAATTTTTTTTTCGCCCCCAACCGATTCGAGTTATCGAGGTTCCACTATATATTAATATGTATTATAAACAAAATTATATTTATCAAAGAAGATTTGAAACTAAATGTAATTTTCAAGCTTAAATACACTATAGTTCGACTATTTTTTTCGACAATAGCATTGACTTTACATTTATTTAGAATATATTTTAAAATTAATGAAAATAGGTAGTTAATAAAATTGAGCTCTGAAAATTGCTTATGAAACAACGACATCTATCCATTCTTCATGGAAATTGGAGATTGTACCCTCAGCAACTAGACTTCTCATATTATATAAATACATCTATTTATTATAATATGTATAAATCTTGGTAATAATAACATAATTTATTATTGAATAATTAAATAGTTTATATTTTTGGAATTTTTATCCAAAAGTAAAAAAAAAAAAAAATATGTCTGGACATTTTAATCGATTGGTTTCAATTAACCTAATATAGTGCCTAATGTTAATTTCATTATGAATTCAATTTGAAGCTTTACAAAAAAATTTAATAAAATTCTTCAAACTCAAAATATTGATTTGACTGAAACATGTAATTATGTTGATTTTATAAGCAACAAAATTGAAAATATTTAAAACGACGAGGAGTTTTTAAAAATTGTGGTAGATTCTAATTCTAAAGCATTTTTAGATAAGTAGGTAACTTACTGCATCTAGAGTCACTAACAGGCAAAAAGCACGGAGCATATTTCCTACAGTAACAGCCGTATCATACTATAAAAGAAAATATATTTACTAATTATCTTTTTATCGACCATGAAGTAAGTGAACTAGTCGCAAGATTTTCGAACCATCATGAGAAGATCGGTTATATCCAGATTCTACTGCCAAAATTCATCAAAAATAAAAATGACGCTAAACAAAATTTGACAGAAATGTATAATGATATGTACTTGTCAAATAAAAAACTTGAAGATCTGTTGTGTGAGTATCAACTGTGGACTAAGAAATGAGAAGAAAGTATTGATGAACTGCGATTGAAACATTAGAAAAATATAATTAACAATTTTTCCCTCTCGTTAATTAGCTTGTAAACATTTTGGTTACTCTTCCTGTGTATGCTGCAAGTGCATAACGATCCTTTTCAACATTGAAGCGTCTAAAGACATACCTGGGTTAGCTCTTTTAAATATCCATTGGTACGTTATTGTTAATCCAGTACAAATTGTCAACAAATTAGCGCAACGTAGACAAAGATTAAATTTACTTCTATATAGTCATTAAAAATAAATAAGAATAGTATTAACATGTATTTAATTTTATTATAAGTCTTAAATTAGTTATTATATTTGTAAGTGTTGTGCAATATTCGGTCAACATTTTTTTTCCAATTCTCAATCTAATTTTTTTTTTTCATGTCGGTCTATTACGAATAACTGAAAGTCAGCCCCCCCCCCCCCCCCATAAATAATCTATACCTACATTACTGGTACAGGCACAGACTAACTGTAAATTTATTAAATTTATTTAAACAATATTGGTACAAGTTACAATATAGTAAAATGTGAAATTCATTATACAAGTAGTTTATAGGTAGGTATAACAAAGAAAAATGTAATTTTAGTTAGGTCTTCTATACTTTATAGATATTTACAAAAATTGTTTATACCAAAATTATATAATGCTAATTACTGAAGTCATTTTAAGCATGGTTTTAGAGGATACTTTTAAAGACCGTAGTTTTAAGCGATCGCATGCTATTATATCAAATAATATTAATGTGTTAATTCAATCATTAAAAGCTTGATGAGAAAATATTTTTAAACTTCCTTTCTTCCTAACACACATACTACACACACACACACACACACACACACACACACACGTACTACACCCACACACACACCCACCCACACACCCACCCACACACACACATAACGCATCAATGACATAATGACATGGACTTGCTGTGTTCTATGTACACTATTGACTGTTGTATAATGTTATGGTTTTAATTTTTTTTTTTATTTTACAATCCTTACACCGATTGCCTAAGGGAGGAGATAAGCACTGTATCATATTCATTGCATGTTGTGAGTACCTAATGCAATATTTTTTTTAAATCTAGATTTTGAATAACAGTATACAGTATACCAACACAATATAGTTTATTTGTATTTTTAAAACCATGTATGTGCAGACAAAAATCTATTCCTACCAGTCAATGTAACACATTATTCTGTTTTTACGAGAAAATATTTGTTCACATGTGTTGGTACGTTGAACTGAAAATTCAGTTGTCATTTCTATCAGATTTATTTTAAAGCAGGAAAATATTCGTTTGGAAGTTTTGAATAAAACTCTAAAAAATGATTTTTTGTAATTATTTACAGTAGAACGAATTTGTTTTCAATTTGATAAATTCAAGTTGAAGAAAAGTGTAGACATAATTTTTAAATAAGTACAATGATTATTTGTGTATTAAGAATATCTGATAATTAAAATAAAAAATCTTTATATATTTGCTTAAATTATTTTAATATTTCAACAAATCAGTTAATTGACTATAATGCCGTTTTAATTTTTAATTTTTAGCAGTTTTCAAAATGACTGAAGTCACTACGGCCAATGTGGTTCACAAATAGTTTTAACTTTGTATTAAATGCTTTAACAGAATTATACATGTCATTATATCAAATACAAGTATTTCTGTTCCTTGTAATTTTGAAACTAAAGTATTCAAATGTAATGTTTATAAGAAAAGCTAAATTCTATAAAAAATTATTATTTTTCAATTCTGAAACTGGTCTTCTCTTGTTGATCATGGATATTTAAATATTTTGACGTAAATGGAAAAATGCTTTTAGTATCTTTTATCGTCTTAACCAAGTGTTTTGTGATAAAATTATGTTCTTAAAAAGTTTTTATTGTTCCAGAAATCATTTCTTCAAGTAGGTACATTTAAAAATTAAAATACACTTTTTATAAGCTTATCACCACTAAAAAACATATTCACCGGCTATTAAATTTGTTATTTTAATTGCACGATATTTGTTTGTTTTGATTGAGTTTTATTTATTTTTTTAAATAAATTAGAAAAATGTTGATTATAAATTTCTGTTTTAAGTTTTTCCAACTCAATAAAATGTATTTCTTCTGGCAAAAGAAAATATACTACATCAAATTGTAATTATTAAATTAGATTGAAAATAATAATTTTTATCTTTTAAATTGGCAAAATTTCCTCGATATTTTAATTAATAGTACAGTATAATATTAACTGTTTTACGGCACACAAGACAAAGCTTTTCCATTATATTCAATAAAACATTTTTTATTGACCATTTTTCATTAAAAACTTGACAGTTATTATTATATTAACATTTTTTTTAACAGACATTTTTCAAAAGAAATTTTAAAATTAATACAGATAATTTATCGCTATATATAACTCACTTGTGTTTTATAGTGACTATAGTGAGCATATTGATCTCACTAAATAACTATTATTAATACACTTCTATTAAAGTATTTTTCAATCTGTAATACATATTTTTAATAGTTCATTGACCATTACAGAGAAGAAAATCAATCTATATTGATAAAACGAGTTTTATATATACTATAATAGTTTGAACAATAGTGGCACAACCA